TGAAAAAAGTAAATCATTATGGTAGTTCTCGGTAGCATCTTTAGAAGGTAGACTAGGTGGCTGTTTTAATAACTCATTCCTTTCCCCGCAGATCTCCTCTTGGGTTTAATCATGGTTAACAGAATGGGATGCAGGCTTTGTACTTCTCAGGGTAGGGCTAGTATTTGTGTGGCCACCAAAATGTATGTGTCTTTTACATGGGGAAATGCCAATGTATTTCTACGACTATAATCTCACCATTCAGTAATCTCTATTAGAAAAGCAGAAAAATAAAAGTGTGGGATAAGATACAAATTAGGGTCTCTACACAGGCTCTCCTGCAGGTCCCTTGGCTGGGCAGCAGAGGCACACCTGGTGCTCTCCGAGTGTGCTGTTGTTTCTATGATGCCCACAGAAGGACTCCTACCGAACGCATTGTTCATGTTTAACGTTTTAAACATAACCTTGCCTCTTTGTCAGTTTATATAGCTTTGCATGCTTTGTGATGCGTTCTGGGTGATAAAAGGCAGATCCATGTGTGTGCGATTCCTGAATCGGGTCCCATCCATGGGCACTGTCGGTGTGTGTGTGTGTGTGTGTTCCCTGCGTTGTGTCCCATCGTAGGCATGGATGGCGTGTGTGTGTGTGTGTGTGTGTGTGTGTGTGTGTGTGTGTGTACGCTCCTTGCGGTTGTGTCCCGTCGTGGGCATTGGCGACTTTCTCAATGTTTGTATCTGACGATACTGAGCATCCTCTGTCAGAGATCCCTTAATCCTCATGGAGATCTTTGTGGAAGGTGAGAATATTATTTATTTATTTGAAAGGCAGTTGCAGAGATCGGTAGATATATTAGTACATAGATAGTCTTCCATCCAACAGTTCATTCTCCAAATGCCCAAACAGCGAGGAATGTTTCATCTGGATTTGCCATGTGCGTGCCTGGGGGAGGAGCAGGTGGGCTGTCCTCTGCTCCCTTCCCCGGCACATTGTCTGGGAGCTGGATCACTGGTGGAACCAGGACTCCTGTGGGGAGCAGCCGATGTCTCAGGTGGCGGCTTAAGACACTGCACAACAACACCAGCCCCAAGATGGGGAGGGTTAAGAACTATTTATGTCAGTATTATTTATTAGTCCACCCCCACTGGAGAGGTGGTGCTCCCTACACTGTGAGCTCCTTAAGACAATGCACAGGATCATAATCACGTGTCTATTTATAATGAGGCCGGAGCCTCTGCCTACAGTGCTGGCATCCCCTATGGGTGTCAGTTTGAGTCCTGGCTGCTTCAGTTGCAACCCAGCTCCCTGCCAGTGTACTGGAAAAGCAGTGAAAGATGGCCCAAGTTTTTGGGCCCCTGCACCCACATGAGTATCCAGAAAAAGAAGCTCCAGGCTCCTGGCTTCAGACCAGCCTAGTTGTGACCATTTGGAGAGTGAACTAGTGGATGGAAGATCTCTGTAATTCTGCCTTTCAAATAAAAAAGAACTTTTTTAAAAAAAAGTCCTCCTAGGGTGAATGTTTCTGGTAGTTACTGAATGGGATTCTGTCAGCACCTCCAAGTTGGTCGTAAGGGGGAGAGGGTTAGAAGCCATGGCTGCTGTGGGGTCTCACAGGATGTGTGTCACATGGGGCAGGGATCTCTTGCTCCCTGCAGCTGGTGCTGCTGCTGGGGACAGAGCTGAGCAGGGCCTGCATCCCACCGGCCTTGGCCTGCTGGTGTGGCCTCTGAGGGTAGGGGCGCTCCTGAGTAGCTCGCATGCACCCCAAAGGCAGCCCAGCCAGAAGAGGGCAGAATGCACTTCTGCCTCTCGGACCAGGGACACCTCGCTGCCACTGTGTCTCTGGTAGTCGGTAGTCGAGTGTCTGCACAGCAGGAGTAATGTTTTCTCGTGTCCCTATTTTCTCCTAAATCAGCTGAGCTAGACCTTTTTCTAATGTTTAAAAAAAAAATTGTGTGTTTGTTACTGAGAGTGATTTATGACCAGCAAATTAAGTTTCTCTTTCAGCATACTTTACAGTTCTATGCTGACACTTATTTCATCACACTGCTTTGGTATTGCTTTCCTTTATAAATGGGGAACTTGTCTGTTTTTCTTTTTGTTTTTTCAGATTTGTTTATTTGAAGAAGTGATACAGACAGGGAGAGATATGTTTCATTACCTGGTTCCCCAAGTGTCTACAACAGCCAGGGCTTGGCCAGGCTGAAGCCAAGGGCCCAGAACTTCATGCTGGGCTCCCACACGAATGCCAGGGACCCACATACCTGGGCCATCTTCTGCTGTCCGAGGCATATTAGTAGGGAGCTGGGTCAGAAGGGAAGCAACAGAGACATTCAACATATTGCCTGTCCAGCACCAACTTGTGTCTTCATGTTCACTGCTCTAAAATCTCGGTACTCTGATAGAGGGTGCTTGTGTGGGAAAACCAGACTGTGTCTCTTCCTGTACCTCACAACCCAAAATGCCTCTGACCAAGCTAGTGTGGGAGGTGTGTGGGGACACCATCCTGGCGTCCTGTGGTGACGCTCGCTGCTGCAGTTGGCCAAGAGCCTGGCCACTGAGCTCCCCACTTCCGATGCCGCGCCCTCGCAAGTCCAGGTGTTGGCCATACTGGCGGTGGGGATCGGTACGCACCCTTCCTGGGGCTTAGTTAATTTTCTAGAGAGACTTGGAGAACACAGGGTAACACTTGGTGTTTCTTGATTGACCATAGAAGATATATCATTTTTAAAGGTTGTATTTATTTTTATTTGAAAGAGATAGGGGGAGAGACAGAGGTCTTGCATCAGCAGGTTTACTCCCCAGATGGCTGGAGCTGAGATGCTCCAAAATCATGAGATAGGAGCTTCTTCTGGGAATCCCACATGGGTTCAGGGACCCATGGGCACCTGGGCCATTTTCTGCTACTTTTTCCAAGGAACAGAATCAAAATTGAAACAGCCAGGACTTGAACCAGTGGCCACGTGGGATGCTGGCACCATTGACATGCTATACTGCTGCTCCGACCCTGTGAAAGATATTTCTGAAAGATACAGATATATAGCTGAAACAGTGTGTAGAGCGAGGTCTGGGAGGGTCCCTGCGTGCCTCGCTCTTGGCCATATATGTGCTGTCATCCAGTTTCTGAAGCTCCACCTGTTTGACCATCTGTAGCTCCTGGAAGAGGGTGTGAGCACAATTGATTCTGTCGCTGACCACTGGTAATCCGTCCAGCCTTGACCCCTCTGCCTGGTGAGGATGGAGCTGGAAGTCCTATCTGTAGCCAGGGCCTGGTCTTTCTCCCCATCCTGCAAGTCATGAGGCATCTCAACTGCAGCTACAAAGTCATTACTTTGAGACTCCAAGGATTGTAGAAGCTGTGTGCCAGGGCACAAGACCACAGGCAACAAATCTCAAGGCATCCCAGCACAATTGTTAGGTCCTGCCCACGTGCAGGGCATGCAGGGCTGTCCTTTCAGATGTCACCTGAGAACCCACAAGGCTGGGGATGGTGGTGTCCGGGGCCTACTGGTCAATTAAACCCAGGGCAAACAGGTAGAATGTTGTTGCAGATCACTCCTTAGCCTGGGGTTTGAAACTAAAGGCCATGTTGGAATGTGTTGAGCGTGCTGAGGCGGAAGCATGTGGTCACTTGTTCCTGGGGACACAGCTGTCCTTGGACCCTGCCCCAGCCTGTACTTGAGGATGTTTTGATTCTCGGTCCAGAATAAAAACATCCAAAGAGACAGAAATTTGATTGCTTTATTGGTCACATTTTAAAAGTCATTCAGTTTCCATGGAGCAAGCATTATCACCCATAGGTATTGGGACATGAAGCTTTCTTTTTCCCCCTTTCCTCAAAAATCGTTTTTGGCCTGCTGGTGTTTCCAGCTCCTGTGTTAGTCCCTGTGTGGGCAGTGTAGATGCTGGCACACTTCCTCCTCCTGGAGTGCTGTCTTGCCTCCTCCTTTTCCCAGGGCACTTGGCACCCCCTGGTGGGAGGTCCTGCACTTGGCCTCCTGGTTTGCCCTTGAGACCCTGAGCTCCCCCCAGCTCTCCAGCACTTGTCTTCCCGTCCCTTGCCACTTCCCCTGCTTGCTCCTCTTGCTACCCTCAGCCTCCTCACACCGGCTCCGTTCCTCTCCTTGTGTAGCCTCCCCCCCGGCCTTCCTTCTGACCACTTGATTCCTCTGGGCCTCAGCCCTCAAAGGCAGCCTTCGTCTTTCCCTCAGTGCTGGTGAGGCCCCGGAGCCTACTGTAACACACACACACGCCCTTGCATACATGCGCACAGCCACCATCCCCAAGGTCAGGCCTTCATCCATCCTGCAAGCCCAATGATTTATGACCCCTGCTCTTTGCATCCAGCCTTGTCCCCGGGCTGCTGTGCTGTTTGCACAGTTGCCAGTTTCATTGCTTTAAAATGCTGTCTTTATGAAGGGATGCTCTTCTCAGTCCCTCTAGAATAGTGTTTAAGCAGCCTCCTGCCGCCCAGGGGAGAGCTTGAATTTCCCAGCGTAGTGCAGCGTTCCGAGCCTGTGTCCTCTGGGGCCTACCTCTTCTCCGGGTTCGTTTCCCACCAGCCACCCACACAGACAGATCGTGCGTCTAGCTCCCTGGCAGTTCCCTGGGAGCCTCCAGCGTCATCGTGGAACCTCTGTCTGCCAGCCTTGTTGGAGCCGTGCTGCTGTTCACGCGGCACTGAGCTCAGCTTGCGCAGAGGGCCTGCTTGCGTCCCTGGAGTCCATGTCTTCAGTGTGGTGTCTGCTGGCTGGGTGCTTATGTGGAACAGGCCAGGGCCTGTCGTTACACAGAGAAATACTACCAGCACCCCGCATGTGTTCTGCCAAGGGAGTTGTTTGTTTTTTCTATTAGATTCCATTGATTCTCATTTTAGCCAGAGATAGAACATGAAAAGTAAGGTCTCTGAACATAGGATCATGTGCTGAATTACCTAGTCAGACTTCATTACACAAGACCAGTTAAGACCGTGACTTCCCATCCGGTGGTCCTGCTGACAGTGACTTCTTGCCTTTGTCCTGCAGTCTGCATGAGGAAATCAGTGATTTTTATGAGTACATGTCTCCAAGACCCGAGGAGGAGAAGATGCGCATGGAGGTGGTGAACAGGATTGAGAGTGTGATCAAGGAGCTGTGGCCGAGTGCTGACGTGAGTACCTGCTGGGCGCCGGGCCCCGTCCTCATCCACATGGAGGGCTTGCCTCTTGGGGGCCTCCCTTGCCGGTGTGGCTACTTCTGTTTGAAAAGCCAATTTATTTGAGACGCAGAGACATGGAAGGCACTCCCACCTGCTGGCTTACTCCTCAGATTCCTGCAGCAGCTGGGGCTGGACCAGGGCGAGGCAGGCAGCTGACACAGCCACTTCAGATCGCGACTTGGAGCCATGAGCACTGCTCTGGGCCTGCACCGGCAGGAGGCTGGAGCCAGGGCCAGGGGTCAGTGTGGACCCGGCGTGGGGTCCAGACACCTCTGCTGCTGAGCTCAGGCGTGCTGCCTGTCTGCTGGACGAGTGACAGGCAGGTGGTCTTCTGCAGTCTCGCGAAGCCAGGGCTTCCTGGCTATTTTCATTGGATTAGATCAGTCAAAACTTTTTTTTTTTCCTCCATCAGTACTGAATAGCAATTACTAATGGCAAACCGTATTTAGGAATCATTAGTGTAAAGACCAATCAGACCTCATTGCCACGGTCTCTTAATTAGATGTGATGTAGCACGACCACCTGCTTTTTGGTCGTTGGTGACCCAGTGGAGGCTCTGTGCCCCACGTTGGGTTGCTTGGGCAGGTGGCTGGCCCTGGCTTGCTTCCTCTCGGCTTCATGCTGACCCTGGTGCTTGACCCCGACTTTGGCCCATTCCAGGAAGTCATGTGTTAGAACCCAGGGCGTTGTGGTCTGTAGCTCTGCGGACTCTGTCCCGGGCTGGCAGCATCCAGCTGTCACTCTTCATGTCTCCCTTCTGCCCTGGACTATGGGGAGGGGGGAAGACGCTGGTGTCTGGCAGGGGGTGCTAAAAGGAGATCTCCCGACTCTTGGTTGGGGAGGGCAGTGCTCTGATCCCCAGGAGCTCTGGCGAGCTGGGAACACTGCTGGCATTTGGGTTCACAGCCCTGAGGCAGAAGGGCCCCATCTCACCCAGGGATCACCTTCTCAGGCAACCTTTTTTTTTTTTTTTTTTTTTTTTTGGTAAACACTTGAGGACCACAAGGCCGTGGATAAGTCCTGGGGTCCGTTCTGCCTGTGAGGTTGGGCCTTTCCCACTGTCATGGTTCTCCATGGGCTGGAATGGCTCAGGTCCTGGCTTGGTGGCGCACAACATGGTGGGGTGATAACAGTGCCGTATGCTGGTCACGTAGTCAGACCTTCATTTGATCCTGCTCAGAGACAAAAGTTAAGGATCTAAGATCCTGTCTGAATTGTAAGAGAACAGTAGTCTCCTCAGTTGGACTTGTCCAGGTTTTGTGCTTTGGTCTGTGTCTCATGTTTGTGTCAGATCCATTTCAATAGCATTCTCAACATCAACCTGTGACTTCATGAAAGCCTGGTGCCAGTGAAAATGTTCTTGCAGTACCAAGAAAGGCCACTAGAGGACAGCCGAAGCAAACATTTCTCCCCTAAGCTTTATCTGACACCTTCTTTTTCTGTTTTAGGTCCAGATATTTGGAAGTTTTAAAACAGGCCTGTATCTACCCACTAGGTTAGTACATTTATGAAATATTCAAGGAGATTGTATATATTTCCAAGGTATATTGATTTTTGGCTGTTGAGTGTGTAAGACTGGAGACAAAATAGACGTGTGAAACATTTATTTAGATGTATTTGAAGGAGTTTGAAGCAAAATATTCCTTCACATCGTCTCTCCAAGACTGAGACTGATGGAACAGGGCCACTGTAGCACCTGACTCCAATTAGTTCCGAGATAGAGAGACGGCCACAGGGAGCTGAGCAGTCCCACACTGGTGCCCCCTGGCACAGGTGTTCCCATGGGTCACAGTAGAAGGCCTGGTGTGACCAGGGATGTGAGGGCTCTGCCACCGGAAGTGGCTGTACGCTCCGGGGACAGCACTGAACCCTCAGGTCAGGAGGGGAGCTCAGCTCCTCTGTGAGGAGGGTAGGAGCCGCTTTGAGGACCTCACGTCCCCCGTCGGGCATCTCAGGTGAGGGTGAGCAGCCCGCAGCCTGGCAGGACGACTAGTCATTTTTTACGGAGAGGGTGGATCCCGACCTGTGGGAATAAAAGTGGTGTGGGCTTTCTAAGGGAGCAGCACTCCATCTTGATACTTGATTGGAGCCTGCCAACATGTGTGGATGTGTATGGCACCTGCAAAAGCCAGAAAAGATTGAGCTTTGAGTTTGTTCCCGTTTTTCCTTAGTTTAGGCTCTGAACTTCAGCACAGCCACCTCCCCACCCCCCGATCAGTCCGTTTGTATTGTACAAATCCATAGTCACATTTCCTGGCGAGGGGCACCTTCACAGAGCTGATCTCCGTAAAACGCCCCCGTCTCCGTCCTGCCCATGGTTCTCGAGACAGCTGCCCACAGGCAGCAGTGTCTGGCCTGGCCTTCTGAGATGTCTGCACATGCTGGCGCGTGTGTGTGTGCATGCTTACAGAGCAGCCCTGCGCTGCTGCAGTTGAAGTCCCAGTCTTACCCGACAGGACTGTCTTCATTCAGGCCCTGGAGCCAATGTGCAAAGCAAACATGGGCTGGTAGCATTTTGAGGTTTTGCTTCCTTCGGAATTGCCCTGCTCTTGAGGTCTGGATTCTGTGAAATGACTGGGGCAAGAGGTTCAGGCAGCCCTGTACTTACTGTCGCTAAGCCCACAGTCACTGGCGCATCTGTCCAGCTGTGGCGGGGCGGGAGGGGGAGTGTGCACTTCGAAGCCGGTAACCGGTGGTGGCCCCTCACCGGGTGTGTCTCTCCCCAGTGACATCGATCTCGTGGTGTTTGGGAAGTGGGAAAACCTGCCGCTGTGGACCCTGGAAGAGGCTCTCCGGAAGCACAAAGTTGCAGATGAGGATTCCGTGAAAGTTCTAGACAAAGCCACCGTAAGTTCTTTACGTTGCACCTGGAATCTCTGGCTGTGTACATGGGAAACCTGACCCCGCTGTGCTGAGCACCGGGGAATCGTAAGCACGTGTTTTTGGTAACACTGTTTATACACCAAAAAAGGCTTTCTCTTTGTAAAATAATTTGTTCTGAAAATAACCAGTTTTATCATGACAGTGCTCACCATAGAGGGTTTTGTTTGTTAAATCTTTGAAATACAGAATAGAGATTGAAAATAAAAAAGAAAAAATGGGGATGTGGGTTTTTAGCGTTATGTTATAGCAGGTAAAATCTTTGCCTGAGATGCCAGCATCCCACTGGGTGCAAGTTGGTGTCTTGGCTGCTCCACTTGGAATTTAGCTCCCTCTGCCGACAGCCAGGGAAAAGCAGTGGAGGGTGGCCCAAGGGCCTGCGCCTCCGGCACCTCTGTGGAGACGGGACGAAGCTCCTGGCCCCTGGCCCCTGGCCCCAGCGGTTGTAGCCATCTGAGGAAGGAACCCACAGATAATGGAAGATTCTGTCTCTAACTCTGATTTTCAGAATTAACTAAATAATGTCTTCATTTTAATTGTTTATAGATAAAATAGGGATATTATTACACAGATGTCGGCATTCTTCCACTTTGTTTTATGCCTCTGAACTATTGTGAATAGTTGAGATTTTATGAGTCATTTTAGCCATGGCCTAGATGGCCATTAAAAGAACTGTGATGGAAACTCATTGTCAAAATAAATGTATCAGTCTTAGAAGAAGTGGGTTTTATTTTATTTTGTTTTGCTTTGTTTTGGAGATGCAATTCTGCACCCAGATCGGCTTGCTGGGGACAGGTGAGTGATATGAAGTATATAGCGCCTGTACTTGTAATTCTTCTGTTTTCAAGTTGTATTTATTTATTTGAGAGACATAATTATTGAGAGACAGGGAGAGAGAACGCCCTTCCATCTGCTGATTTACTCTAGATGGCTACACAGCCAGGACTGGACCAGGCCAAAAGCAAGCCAGGAGCTCCAAGCACTGGGCACCACACTGCTTTCCCAAGTGTGTCAGGAAGGAGGTGGGTTGCAAGTGGAGCAGCGCTCATAGGGAATGCTGGCCTCAGGCAGCAGCTTAACCTTCCATACCACAACACTGGCCCCTCACGTTTCTTGATCTTATACTGAGTTGGAAAGTGTTCTTCAAAATACGTAATGTTGATAATGGTTTTCCTACATGATTGCAGATTTCTCTGAGTGTTAATTTTCTGGACTGAATAATCGCTTTAGTGTGTATATCAAGATCTGTTTGTCAAGCCTTGGAGTTACGTACCTTAGAGGAAAAGCAAATGACAAATCAATAAAGCTGTTTAGACACAAAAGTAAAATTGTCAGTCGGCAGAAGTCACAGAATCTGCTCCGCAAGGCTCTGTAGATGCAGAACATGCATGCACACTCTGGCGGCGACCCCTCGTTCCTGGTCCCTGAGCTGGGTGGCCTGCCCTTCCCCGAACTTGTCTTTTGATTTGCTTTAAGATTTTTAACTGGCCCTTTCTTTTTCCAGGTACCTATTATTAAATTAACAGATTCTTTCACTGAAGTGAAAGTTGATATCAGCTTTAACGTGCAGAATGGCGTGAGAGCCGCGGACCTCATCAAAGATTTTACTAAGGTCAGAGGGATCGCCTCACTGGGGCGTGGGATTTGCTGTGTGTACCGTGTGGTGCCTGTGGCCCCGCGCTTCGCTGTTTCTGCGTGGGATTTGCTGTGTGTACCGTGTGGTGGTGCCTGTGGCCCCGCGCTTCGCTGTTTCTACGTGGGATTTGCTGTGTGTACCGTGTGGTGCCTGTGGCCCCGCGCTTCGCTGTTTCTACGTGCACATTGCAGACACGTTCCCGTGCAGTGTGTAATGATGGACAGTGACCTCAAGGAAGAGTTAAGGGTGGGGGAGGCAGGCTCCTCTGTCCCTTGGTGCGCTGCAGAGGCCAGCTGGCAGCTGCGCCCCCAGAGTTCAGGCACAGACCCGCTTAGGGGCTCCAGGTGACCCTGAGGTTGATCCCTGCAGGCTTCCCTGCTTCCACCATGAAGCCGTTTCTGCTTCTTTTGGAAGAACCGTCAGCCACGCCTCGAGAACACGCTGGGGGCTTCTGTGGTTGTCAGCATTTTCTCTGAAGCTAGCTGTTAGACTGCCTCGGAGCATGTAGCACATTTGTTTTCCCCCTCCATTCACCAAATAAATAAATAAATAAAAATTATTATTTGAAAGGTAGATTTTCAGAGAGAAAGCAAGACAGAGAAAGCTCTTCCATCTGCTGATTCACTCCCCAGATGGCTTCGGTGGCTGGAGCTGAGCCAATCAGAAACCAGGAGCTAGGCACTTCTCACAGTTGTCACACACAGGTGCAGGCACCCCAGACTCTGAGCCATCCTTTGCAGCTTTGTGAGGTCATTGCAGAAAGCTGAATTGGAAGTGGAACAGCCAAAACATGAACTGGCACCTATGTAGGATGCTGGCACTGCAGGCAGAGGATTGAGTCTGATACACCATGGTGGCAGCCCCCTTACTATCTTTTTGTTTTAATGAAAAGTATTAGCTACTAATCATGTTATAAATGTTGCATTCTAGTATATAAAATCTATAAAGACACATGCATGTGCAGAGGACAGAGAAGCAAAAAACGAATTTGTCAGTTTCCTGCTGTTTTGGGTAGGGGGGTGTACATTTTTCTTTTCTTTAACAGAAACTGAATTGAAAAATAATACAGGGCCCTGCGTCATGGCGCAGTGGTTAAGGTCCTCTCCTTGCATGCCCAGGATCCCATATGGGCACCGGTTCTAATCCCGGCAGCCCCACTTCCCATCCAGCTCCCTGCCTATGGCCTGGGAAAGCAGTCGAGGATGACCCAAAGCTTTGGGACCCTGCACCTGCATGGGAGACCCGGAAGAGGCTCCTGGCTTCAGACCGACATAGCATCAGCTGTTGCACTCACTTGGGGAGTGAATTATCGGACGGAAGATTTTCCTCTCTGTCTCTCCTCTCTGTATATCTGCCTTTCCAATAAAAAAATAAAAATAAATCTTAAAAAAAGAAAAGAAAAAGAAAAAGAATACAGATGGGTTCCAGTGTCAAGGAGTAGGCTAAGCTCCGACACAGATCCCTGCTTATGGCATGGGAAAGCAGCAGAGGATGGCTCAAGTTCTTTGACCGCTGCACCCATTTGGGAGCCTCTGGCTCCTGGCTTCAGATCAGCTCACTCTCTGGCTGTTGCAGCTGTTTAGGGAGTGAATCAGCAGATGGGAAGAGATCTCTCTCTTTTTCTCTCATTCTCTCTCCTTTTCTTTGTAACTCTGCCTTTCAAATAATAAATCTTTGAGAACAGCCCTGGGTGTAAGGGAGCCATGGGAGTGCATGCCCTGCGGCCCTGGCTGCTGAGGTCAGATTCCTGGGATGTGCCGTCAGTTGCCTGCTGTGTGTGCTCGCCGGTCCTCATCTCGTCAAACGGGGGACCAGTGTGTGGCCTCCACCTTCCCTGGGTTGCCCTTCAGGTTCCTGCTTTGGAAGCTCTTCCCCATCAGCACAGCAGTCCTTGTGAGGGTGGGTGGGGCTGAGCCTATGGACCAGAACCATTCTGTCAGCGATCTGCCCAGTTTGTTTTCGTGGGGGAGACTTGGTGAAGGCAGGCTTCAGCACTCTTTCAGGATGTGTGCTTCTTCCGGCCTTGCTATCCTTTGCCTTGCTCACTTACGTTGGATAGATGAAGAAATTGCAACATTTTTCTGTCTTTTGGTGGCGTTGGCATGCTCAGGCAGCCCCGTGACATCCTCAGTAAAGTACAGCTGGTCGCCATGTGGAAGGCAGCTGCAGCCCTGTGCCACTCTGGAGCCAGAGCAAAGTCATCGCAGGATCCAGGGCCACGTTGAGCAGCACCGGGGAACCCGGGACCTTAGGCATCCCCTGCCTTGGCACCATGCAATGTAGCAAGACAGGCTCCTTGCCCCCATCTGTTCCCCACGTGCACGTGTATATCCATTGGCTGTGTTCACAGCAAGCGCTGTCAGGTGTACCCTGCTCGTGTGTCTGTTGGGGTGGGGGGATTAGGTAGGCCATTCTTTTTATTATTGTTGATTACATTGCATTATGCGACACAGTTTTATAGGCACTGGGATTCCCTCCCCACCCCCACCCCCCATGGGGGATTCCTCCACCTTGTTGCATTTAGGTAGGCCATTCAGGCACACATGTCTCAGACTTGACATGTGAGGAGAAAACCCAAAACTGCTGTGGCTCTGGAGCTACCCGTGAAGCTAGGATATCCTGCGTCTGTCTTGTCCCGACCCAGTGTTGTAACACGGCAGCTGCTTCCTGCCCTCATTAGCACTTGGGGGAAGATCCTGACTGTCTCCTTTTGTTTGTTTTGTAGAAATATCCTGTATTACCCTACTTGGTTTTAGTACTGAAGCAATTCTTACTCCAGAGGGATCTTAATGAAGTCTTCACAGGTGGAATTGGGTCTTATAGTCTCTTTTTAATGGCGGTCAGTTTCCTTCAGGTAAGCCGCATGGGCACCCCAGGATCGTTTTTGCAGAGAGTTCTGATGAGTCCACTGGGGGAGTGTTTTGGGGAGCAGTCCCCTCAGGGAGCACTGCGGTGCCTTCACCCTTTCAGCTGGGCGTGTTCCCGTGACGTAGTCCTTGAGTGTTTAAGAAACCTGTGGGAAGCACAGGTCTCAGTCTCTGTCCCACCTGTGCCAGGGTTTGAGCCTTAGCACTGGAAATGTTCACATGCCAAGTGAGGACCTGGAGTCCCTGAGCTTGTGTAGACGTATGAATGCCAGAAACTCAGAGCTGCCTGTGAGCGTGTCAGCTGGTGAGGCGTGCTGGCTGGAGGCCTGCAGCCTGGGAGAACCGAGCTCATCTTCGTCAAGTTGTAGTGTTAGTATTGTATATTCACGGGGCACAGGGCTGCCTGCAGCGTGACTCCCCCGTGAGTCAGGACAGCTGTGCTGGGCCGGGCCGGCCGGCCACAGCCTTCAGCGTTAGCCCTGCACTGGCAGGGCTGCAGTGGGGTCTCTGACAGCTGTGTGACTTGCCTGTCCCCTCAGCATCTTGTCTCCTATGCTAAGCCAAAGTGGCAGGAGCTGATAGAAATTGGGGTGTTCCATATTGCCTCTTCCCCAGATAAGTTAGAGAAATCTCTGAAATAATTTCTTCCTTTTTTTTTTTTTTCTATTTGTAGTTACATCCCAGGGAAGATGCTTGCATCCCCAATACAAACTATGGTGTTCTCTTAATAGAATTTTTTGAATTATACGGACGACACTTCAATTATTTAAAGACCGGCATCCGGATAAAGGATGGTGGTTCATATGTGGCCAAAGATGAAGTACAGAAAAATATGCTGGATGGCTACCGGCCGTCAATGCTGTACATTGAGGATCCTTTACAACCAGGTATTGAAATTAGGTAAATCTGAGTGTTCCAGGAGAGGGCGCTATCTGTCCCCTTGCAGTTTAAACTTCCAAGAAAGATGAAGGACTGGCTTCTTACTGTAGTCACTCTTTATCCAATGCTTCCTAAGTAAGCTGCTCCCCGCTCCCTCCCAAAGCACAGACACACTCCCTGAAAACACCTTGCGTTTTCTGGGGATGCTGAGAGTCAGGTTGTTGTATACGCTGTGGAGCAGAGTATACAAAGTGGTCCCTGTGGGCTCAGCTTCCGCACGCCTCTCGTGGCTAGCCTTGCCCCATCCGCACAGTGCCTGGCACTGCCACACTGCCCTCTAGGGCACCCGCACCGAGCTCCCTGAGGCAGGACACATTGGCGTTCTACCTCTATGCATCCTAGGAGACAGCGCATTTGAATTTCGGGCTGTTCTTTGCCTTGAACTTCACGTGGTCTCCTGGTGTTTTCTCCCCTTTTGTGGCGACCGGAGAGTGAACAGAGGATGAATTCTTTGTAGCTTGCTTACATCCTGTTTTTTCTGGCCAGTATTTTTTTCCTGATATAATTGTAAACTATTCTGATGATGCATAATTGGGCTCCAGCGGAAGTGCTTTGAGCCATTTGCTTCACTGTGAAGTCAGCTATGAAGATGGAGGAGGGCAGGGGGTGAGGAGACCCGGGGCTGGGCACTGGAGAAAGGGGGCCCTTCTGGCTCGACGGGCCACCCGGTAAGCATTCACAGCTGTGCATATCTGTTCCTGAGGAAAGGACTGTTGGGATGTTTTGCAAGACAATCCTTGCCTTTTAGGAGCTCCCAGTCGAGTGTGGGAAGCACAGGTATGGGCTGACAGAAACCTGCTCAGTAGCTACTGCTTCAGCAGAGATCGGACCCTTTTATTCTCTGGTTTGCTCAACTGTTTGGGCCTCGGATAGCGGGTGCTTGCTGACCCTGAGTCCATTTAAATAGTTTGTGCATGTTTGACACACACAAACACACCGTACACATCCCCCGCCCAGAGGCCAAGGAGGTGTGGATTGGGGTAGCTGACAGCTCAGCCTCGGAAAGAGGAAAGAGGCCTCATTGTTGGTGCTTAGTTGGTGTCCAGCAGTGGTCAGGCAGCTGACTATGGAATATATATCTGTCTTTTAAAGGTAATGATGTTGGCAGGAGTTCATACGGGGCCATGCAAGTGAAACAGGCCTTCGATTATGCCTACGTGGTTTTGAGTCACGCTGTATCGCCAATAGCAAAGTACTATCCCAACAACGAAACAGAGAGGTAAAAGCTTGGCTATGTCAGTCAGCCTGTAGTGTCAGGATTGCTGATGGCTGCCGACTTGTGAGTTAACGCGCCTTCCCCTCTTCCCCCCACCTTTCTCTTACGCACCTGCAGCATATTGGGTAGAATAATTCGAGTAACGGACGAAGTCGCCACGTATAGAGATTGGATCTCCAAGCAGTGGGGCTTGCAGAACAGGCCTGAGCCCTCGTGCAATGGTGAGTGCCTGCGTCTTTGCTTCGCCAGGTGGGCAAACCGTGAGCTGAGCTTCTGCTGTGCCGGGTGCAGCGGGAAGAAACGTTTCCCGCCCTCTGCTGCTCTTTCAGGAAATGGCGTGACGTTGATCGTAGACACTCAGCAGCTGGATAAGTGTAACAATAATCTGGCTGAAGACAACGACACCCTCGGGAAATGCCGAAGTAAGACTTCGGAGTCTCTCAGCAAACACTCCTCCAACTCCTCCTCGGGCCCAGTGTCGTCCTCTTCCGCCACGCAGTCCAGTTCCAGTGATGTTGTAAGTCCGAGGGCCCGGCTCCCTCCTCTGCTTCCTTGTGACCGGCACGTCCTCGAAACGTTGAGGCATGTGCTTTTGTTGACATTTGATGTGAACGTTTTCAGGCCTACAGCAAACATGTGAGAGTGGAGGCAGGCACCTGTAATCCATCCTTGGCTTCCCTCCCTGACGTTGTACGTGCTCACCACATCAGTCTCTCTGTCCATTCTCTCATGATGCTCTTTGATGGCTTTCACAGCAGATAGCAGATGTCAGCACAATTCCCCCCAAGTACTAAGTGTTCCTTCTGATACAAAACCAACATGTAAGGGAAGCTTCGCTGCACATTCATGTGCATGATGTGACCCAGAACTCTGAAGATCCCAAGTATGCCCGCTCTGCAGGGCTTTTCTGGCCAGCCCCTGGAGCACCCTCAGAGCGGGCACACCCTCAGAGGGGGCACACCCTCGGAGGAGGGTGCTGCTGTGGCTCTCTGGCCGTGCTGAGCTTTGACACTTGCAGAGCCCGTGGACGTGGAATCCTTCCACGTCTCATCTGTGTGAGCCTTTTTTGATGCACAGTAATGTTTTTGAACTTCCTGGTTGTACAGGTAGCTTACAGTTTTAAAATGTGCAGTTCAGTGACCTGGTCCCATCCCTCCCCCCCCCAGTGTTGTGCCTCCCCTGTTAATTCATACCACATCGTTCCTATTACCCCGGGGAGAAAGCCATTTTTACTAGTAGTTCCTCGCAGTTTCTGCCTGGTACTCTCCAGTATGCTTCCTATCTCCATAGCAAGTTTAAGTCTAAGATGGGCTTAGCAGCATTGTTTCAAGTTCAGCTCTTGTTAACTGTGTGACGTAACAGAGCAGGCTACGTAAGGGAGGAACATCTTTATTTCCTGTTGTTGATGGTAACCGTGTGTTCACTTTCCTGATGGGGTCAGACTCTCGAGCGCAGTGCCTAACTGGGTTCCTTGTAGGTTGCTGGGGCACTGTTCTAGGACATGATGGAAAGTAAGATGTCCCAGGCACAGGGGACAGGAGCAGAGTCAACCCCGAGCAGGAAAATTGGGGACGTGAGATGCCAGCTATAGTGCCAGGGTGAAGGTAGAGACGGCCTTGGCCACTGTAGCCCAGAGGCAATGAGGGTTCAGTCCAGGATCCCAGGGAGGTCAGGACCCACAAAGTGTGTCTGGTAGGTGGAGTCCCCGATTTGTGGTCACAGACTTTCCAAGACTGGGTCCCTAAAAGCACTGTCTCCCTCTTCTCCCTGCTCATTCCACTCCACCGTGACTCATTTTCTGCACACGCAGCGCACACTAGCGCTGGCTGCTGAGCCAGTCGGATGTGGGTGACGGGTTCAGCGCTGGACCGGGAGCCCCGTGGGAGACTAAGTCATTCTGGATGTTGAGAGGAAAGCTTATACACGGAGCCCCTTAGATGCCTCCCTGTGCTTGCTCTGTGCTCCATTGTCCACATTTGTCCTGAGCTGAAACTGCTTCCCTCTCTGGAGGTGGAGGGTCTAAACTGCTTACGTGGTGCGTGCTAACTCGTGTGACTTGTCTTAGGATTCTGACGCGACGCCCTGCAAAACCCCGAAGCAGCTACTCTGCCGCCCATCCCCCGGGACTCGGGTAGGGTCACAAGATGTGTCCTTGGAGCCGCCACAGCCAGCTGGGAAGACACAAAGCACCCAGACCACTAACACGCCCAGCAGCACCAACAAATCGCAGGTGGGCAGGGCTGTGTTTTCAATCCTTGGTGTTTGAGGTGGGCTATGTAGAGTTGCTTACATGGGAATAATATATCCCACAGGTTTGAAGACGACTGGGATAAAAAAAAAATACCTCTTTTGTTGTAAGCCCTTACATGCCAGGCAGCACTTGCAGTGCTGGGATGGCCTTACGACGTGGTTCCCAGGAGCCGCTGGGCAGCCCTGCTTCTCACAGAAGCAACAGAAAATGTTGCATCAGGTTATAAAACAGTGTCACTGGTACTTGAAGTAGCCTCTGTTTGTGCAGATCTGAGCATGATACAGCCTTTTTCCGTGTTTTGGAATTCCACACCCATGGCCGCTCTCAGCAGTCAGCTGATCGTCATCAACTGTGACTTAAAATAAAAAAGCCCGGGACATTTTCACTTGCTTAGTTCCCCAAAGATGCAATGACTCAAAAGGAGAGAAGGAATCCGCTGACACTGACCCCTGCCTGGCCTGAAGCCACCTCGCCCTTCTCTGGGCCGTGGGGGAAGGCTCTGGGCTGGTCCACCTGGTCACCTCATGTTGGGTCTGATATGTGGAGCCCACTTGACCAGTGCAGCCTGAGTGATGTGCGTGGTCCCAGACCTAGTAGATCTGGGCTGATTACAGCGCCCGGGGCAGGAAAAAGCCATAGGAGACAGGGCTGACCGTGCCCACCCACCCCTCACCTGCCAGCACCCTGGATCTGTTATGCCACTTACAGTCTGTGGCATGTGACTTGGTAGGTTACCTGGCAACATTTTTACATCCACACATTGCTAAGAAGGCAAGACAGTGTGGTCTGCATTTTTCAGTGTTCTCATTAGAAAATGATGAAATAAGTACAGTAAATGTGGCATTAGAGGTCCCAGGCATTGGCCTTGCAAGCATCCTGTCCCAGGTGCCCGGTGGGTCAGTGGTGGCCAGCTGCACTCTGGCCAGCGCAGTGTTCGTTTTGGGAGCTGCCCGGGTTGGCGTGGCGCGGAGGGCACTGGGCACATCCCCCAAGCTGATGCCTGCTGCCCCTTTGTTTCTCTGCAGCACGGAGCAGGAAGGCTCTTTCGTTCCTCCAGCAAAGGCTTTCAAGGTACAGCTCCAACGGGCCATGGTTCCTTGATGACAAACAAGCCACATCAAGGCAAATCCAATAGTCAGTATTACCATGGCAAAAAGAGGAAACACAAGAGGGAGGCGGCCCTCTCTGACCTGTGCAGATAGTCGGCGCTGTGCGGTGGACTGTCGTCTGCGTGCGGGACAGGTGCACAGGGACTCCTGGGGGCCGGTCAGGAGCCTCACGCTGTCAAACACTGACTTAGCAACTGCATTTTTTCCCAGCTCGCCACGGAATGGATCATGAAGACTGACAACTGCAAAAAAAACAAAACAAAAAAAACACAAAAAAACCACAAAAAGCAAGCAAAAAAAGGGGGGGGTGGGGGGAAAGGCTGCTTATTTGAGAAGTCATATGCCACAGTAACAGGGTCATTTTGAGATTTGAAGCTTGAATGTAAAATAAATCTATTTCTCATTGGCTTTATGCGGCGGTTTAGGGGATAGTGCCGAGTGTGGGTGGGGAGGCAGAAACTAGCGGTGACTTCAGAGGAGGGCGGGGAGGCCAGAGTCCAGCAGGGGCGCGATCTGTGCATGTTGTTGTTGTTGTTTTTTAAACTATTTTTGCATATATTTACCATTTTATTGTGTGTACATATAGAAGACCATATAGGAAATTGATATTTGTAATAGTGGATTTGTTAATACTTTTTACATAACATTACTGTTTAAATTGTAAACAGATTTTTTTCTCAGGATTAGTTGGCAAACTCTGACCTGTCTTACCATCCGTGTGTAAGGAAGTGATTCGTTCCTCCTCTTACTCAGTTTGTTTTCCTCAGCGTTGAAATGACTTAATCCTTGTGGCCTCCTGCAAAAAATATGTTTCTAAAGGAAAGGTTTATGGTGGCAAGTGACATTTATTTTATTTTGTTTAGCTCATAAACACACAAAAATTGGACTATGTACTTTTGTGTAAACACTGAAAAATCTCTTCCTCATCTCTTTGAGAAGCACTCGCTGTGGTTCTCCGCATCGCTGTCGCCCCAGGCCGTGGACGGTGACACGGCTCTGGGTTTCTTTCCTGTAGTCTCCCCCTGTCCCTCTTCTCCCGGGTGTCTGGTGTGGCTGCGAGCTGCGGCCTCTGCATGCTGGCTCCTCTCACCGCGTGCTGCGCGTGCCCGTCTCTCATCGCTTTCTTTTTTCAGTCCATGCTTACCAACTGTGGGAGAGAGCAACTGTAAACAGCTTTAATTAAATCATACTTACACATACACACATTAAAAAAACACACATAAACTATTTTCTTATACTCCACTTTATGTTTTTGGTATTGTTGATCTTTAAAAATTAAATGGTCTTTGATAATGGAGCTATTTTGTATTGCCTTATTAAGACCAAATACTTCTTGTCATCCCTTTCTTTATCCTCTGCTCTCATGGGATTGTTACCGTTAATTAAAACTTTTTTAAACATTGGCTTGTTTTAATCATACTGTAAATTTTGGTTGTAGTTAGCTCTTGAGTGCAAATGAGATGTATAATTGTGTTATCCATCACCTGTTGAGTTTGAAACTCAGTTGGGACTATTTAATGTGGAATGTAACTGCCAGTTGGGAAAAGGTCTTCTTGTGAGGTGAAAGCTCTTAGGTCTGGCTTCCGTGTGTGTGGCTCTGTTAAATGCAGCCATTTCTGAGATGAGATTCTTTTATACATATTATATATATATATATATATATACACACACATATAAAGTACTATTGGCTTTTAGGAATTTCTTTTATATACATTTATGAAATATTGAAGACCAATCAGACCATGAATGGACACTTAGTGCAACTTTTTATAAAGAAAATAATGCTAAAATAAGACCAAAACTGATGTCATCACTGAAATTAATTTTCACTATGTTCGTATTTCAATTCACAACGGAAAAAAAAAAAATGTGTTCCAAAAACTGGAAACTCATAGTACCTGTGTAAACTGTGGAAAATTTTAAATGTGATGTTATTTTAACAATGTTTTAAATTTTAGAGTCACATTTTATTCTGATCAGAATTTTTATCAAGATGTTGAGCTTTTGTTTGTTTTTTTAAACTAGTTTGTCATAACATTGTGCATAATCACAGTATTTATTTTCTAGGACTATTGTGAATGTGTGGACTTATGTTTACTGCTAAGGGAACAATTATTTATAAAATAATATTAAATCCAGTATTAGCTGCCTCTTTCAGACACGTCATACCTGCAGAGATCCGTGTTACATTCACCACACTGAATTTTTTTTAAATGAATCACCCTCGTTGTTGGAAGTTCATGTACTCTTAGGGTGCGAATATTCGTGTTCCAATAAGCATGTGATTATATTAAGGTGGTGGTAGCGGGAAGATCATCTTGATTCCATTGGGAATCTTAGGTTTTCGTAAATCTATTGGGAAAATAGTTTTTCCTGTACTGCTGAAGTTTCTTTTTGGTAAACAGTATCTTTCTAAAAGAAAAAACAAAAGCATGAAGGAGAACGCGAGGTGTGTACCCATTTCCTCTGATGACCAGCGTTGTACTCGTGAATACTGTGTACCTTGCGATGAACAGTGTGGAAGCTGCTCATTTTTCAAATCTGAAGTAAAATACTTTCAAGAACTTTTAGTTTGCCTGCCTGCTCATTTGTTCTGTGCATTTCATCTCTGGACGTGACTCCTGTCTGGGTTTTTTTTTTTGTTTGTGTTTTGGTTGTTTTGTTTTGTTGAATACCCTTTACCGAAACTCTGAGCATAGCACAGAGACATTGTCATCTTGAATATGACCGTCCATCCACATGCATGACTCATAACCCACCTTGGCTAGCACTTGTGCAACGGAATTTTGCAAACTCACTGTGTCACTCACTGTGGTGGCATGTCCTGGGCGTTGGTGAGAAACGTTGAACTCCTAGCTGGTAGAGGCGCTCATGGGTTGCAGGAATCTTGGCATCCAATCCAGGGGTGTTATGTTTTGATAAAGGGTATAAAAGCACTTGTTGGTCCAGTTTTGAGGTGTGCTTGGAAATGTAACCCTGGCTTGGCATGTCTGGGATCTCTGGGGTCCCCATGTTGACAGGTGGCTCTCCTGTAGTTGATCCTGATTCCATGGTTTTGGTCCTCATTGAGGGTATTTTTACCCTTGCTTGCCTTTTGAGTTTCAGAGAGTTTGACTTGGCTCTACATGCTCCTGGATAAAGCCTTTGTGGTGGGTGTAGGGAGAGCCTGGTAGCAGTGGTCTCCCTGTGTGCCCTTCTTGAGCCCCTTCCCCTTGTGATGGTATGTAGCAGTCAGGTTTGCCCTTACCCCTGCCCTAGTGTTGGGGTTTCCAGAAATGCAGGAAGCTCAGAAGAAAGGAACATTTCTGTGGCATATGGGACCTGCTGCCAGGATAGACACCTGCTCATGCAAATGTCTCCCACTGATGAGGACATGTGAGCAGGCTGTTCTATAGAAATCTCCATGATCGGTACTGCTGAGAAATGTTGCTGGTTGTTGTGCAGTTTGCCATCCGCCAACTTCCTTGTCACGCTGATCCACAGTTGGGTGACCACCTGCAGGTCTGCCAGGTGGCTGGTTGCCAAGTACTTCTGGCCTGCCGATTCCTAGGGAAGTGGCTGCTCCACGGTTATCTTTCTGAGAAATTAAATGGTCAAGTGTAAAAGAGGCTGCTTGCTTGGCTGTGATGACTATTGAAATGTGAATATTAATGCTCAAAAGAATGCATTCTTACTCATCTGTTTTAAAAGAATAAAAAAACTTTGATTTTTATTGGCAGTGCAGATACACAGAGAAGAGAGGGAACAGAGATCTTCCATCTGCTGCTGGTTTACTCCCCACATGGCTGGAATGGCCAGAGCTGAGCTGATCAGGAGCTGCTTCTGGGTCTCCCACACAGGTGCAGGATCCTAAGGCTTTGGTCCATCCTTCGCTGCTTTCCAAGGCCACAGCAGGAAGCTAGAAGGGAAATGGAGCAGCTGGGACACAAACAGGTGCCCACATGGGATGCCAGTGCTTGGAGGTAGAGGATTACCACTTGAGCAGTCGCACCAGCCGCTTATTCTTATACTCTCAATCCCTTTAATCATTCCATTTATTGGAAAATGACACCTCAGGAAAGTCTTTTGTGAGCCATGTATTCTGTAAATGGCTCCTGTTCATTGAAGAGAAAAGGTATATTGAATAGCTGCTGTCTGTAGTGATCTTCAAGCATGGCATGGTTGGTGCTAAATGGCAGCCCTTCGGCACTTTCTGGCATGTGTCCTCTTCGACCCGCCTTGGCATCTGAATGCCAAGACAAGCTGCCAGCTGGCTGTTTCTGGCATTAGTAAAGGGTATGAAGATGGAAGGACATATTCTCCTAAGTGCCTTGCTTGTTGGCGCAGACTGGCCGTGGCAGTCACTTGCATGGCTCAGGAGTGGCCTGCCTGGTGCCTTTTCTCTTGACCATCTTCTCGTGAGCCGTGTTGACCTTAAGCACCTTCGGTTTTGGGTCAAAGGTGATGAACTGGGTGGAGCAGGCATTTGGCACACGCACCAGATGCGGCTGGGACGGGGACACCAACCTCCCATATCAGAGTGACGGTTTCCGGTTCTGCTTCTGACTCAACTTCCTGATCATGTGCCTTCTGTGAGGCAGTGGGTAGTGGCAAGTGCCTGCCACCCAGTGAGAGACTGGATGGAGTTCCTGGCTCCTGGTCATGGCTGGGTCCCTCAGCCCTTGCTGTTCTGGACATTGGGAAAGTGCACCAGCAGATGGAGGCTGTTTCTATCTATCTGCCTTTCAGATAAAGTAAACGTATAAATGTATAATGAGTAAGCATTGTGTTGATTAAAGTATTAGGAAAGTTGTTTCTAAAGTCTTCTCTGATACCCAGAGTTAAATATTTTTTGTAGGATTTATTTGGAAGAGTGACAGGGAAAAAGATCTTTCGTCCACTGGTTCACTCCGCAGATGCCTGCAACAGTCAGGGCTGGGCCAGGGGGAAGCCAGATACCAGGAGTTTCATTCTAGTCTCCTATATGGATGGTAGGCGCCTCGCCCTTTGGCTGCAGGGTCGTTGGTAAGGGAGCTGGATTGGAAGTGGCAGCAGTCAGGACTCAGAGCACTCAGATGTGCGATGATGTCCCACCCAGTGGCTTACCCTGCTACACTACAATGCCTTGCTCCTAGAATTAAATACTTACTTAACGATAGCTTGTACCTTTTAGTTCATAAATTGCTAGTACTTACTTTCCTCTATCAGGTTCAGGTTCTTCTAATTCTTTTTTTTTTTTAATACGTACTTGGTCTTTAGCTTTTCTGCTTAAGAATGCGCTATGTTGAGTTTAATCCAGTTCATGGTGTCCCAACCTGGGGAGAGCCCTTAGGGCGCAGCTGAGGTTGGAGCCAGTGAGTGTGTCCCATGGCATATTTAAGCTGGCCCTCTCCTGGGTTTCCTGGGAGCAGGATGACCACATGACAAGCAGGGTTCTTGGGTGCGTTAAGGTGATGGCCCTGGCTTGGTGTTGGTATACAGTCTCACACTCCTGTCTTAGCTGTGGCTTCCCGCCGTTGGTTTTTCTCCGTTCCAGCTGTGGCTGGGCTGATGGGAGGGAAGGTCTGCCCTAGGGACACCTTGTCTGGGCAGATGTTTTATGAGTGTTGAACGGACACGACCGTGGGAGAGTCCGCCGTAAGGCGGGAGCTCTCTGCCTGACTCTGGGCACCATAGGAGGCACTGGGTTGAGAGAAGAGCATTTTCTAAAGCCAGGAACTTGCTGATGCCCAGAACTTCCTCTTGGGGACCCAGGCAGCCTGTGACTATGAAGGGAAGGCGGCTGTGGGTTAGTAACCCTGTTCCTTGAGTTGAGATTTGTCTTCACCTTTTGATCTGGGCTCTATTCAGTTCAGGGCTGTTTGCTAAGGTCACTTTGTAATTCCCTCTGATCTTTACAGCTTGTTATAACAGCTTCGTTCCTGAATTCTCAATTTTTTGCTGAGAGCGAATGAACCTGTACTTGTATCCAAAGAGAGTACGTGTCTCCTGGACTGAATCTCCCTGCTCCTCCTCTCCCATGCCTGGCCCAGGCCAGGTCTCCCCCAGTGGCTGGCAGCGTCCCAGTCCCTGGAGCCATGTCCCTGGCAGGAAGCTGGAATCCAGATGAAACCCCAACTGGTGTCTTAGCCACTAGACCTTGAAAAACCTGCTCCCTTGCCCCTGTAGAGATTCCCCCCTCTCTGTTTTTTAATCAATTGAAATGTTCAGAATTCACTTTAAAAAAGAAAAGAAAGTCTTTTGGAAGTCCTGTCACCCTAAAATAAGCCACAGATCTGTTCCAAGTACCAGAATCTTCTCATGCACACTCAGCAGGGAGAAAGCTGCCGCTGTTAACTTCTGGCCAGAAAATGCGAAGGGCTATTGGGATAAGCGTCGTCTAGTTACATGTTTAGAAAGCTGAGTAAGGCTGATGTCCGTTGTTAATAACCTTCTCTGTTTCCTTGTTTTTGTTTGTTTTTGATTAGCATTGCCTTCTGTGTTGAGAAGTGTGGACTCCTGTGAGGTGCTGGAGGTTTGATTCGCCTTGAGAACTTTCCAAGTCTTGGTCTAGTTACCGCTGCTGAGGGAGGCACTCAGGAATTTGCCCAGACACAGATCTGATACAAACGGTCCGTGAGATCTCACCGTGGCCCCCAGCGCCTGGCACTGGGCACCGCTTTGGATAGCTATGCGTGAATTGCACACCTGCAGAAATTTTTTTTTTTCAAGTTAACGACACTTGGTCTTCAAAAATGTTCACTGTCTGCCTTGAGATTTTTATACATCGTATTTCTATGCACACCTGCCCCCAGTGCTTACTGCCACTGGGTTTATTATTATTGCAATTCAATAAAGGCCTTGCGCTTTCACTTCTCTTCAAAACTGCTGGTATGAGCTTTTATGTGAAACCTGAATGGCTGCTTTGCGGGGATGTTTTTGTTAACTATAATTCTCAGCCCCTTTTAGGCAAATGGAAGGTTTTCTTGCACCTATAGCATTTTTGTGGCTGGCTCTGGAATAATCTATAAGCTAGTTTTTTGGTTTTTTTAAAAAGATTTATTTATTTATTGGAAAGTCACATACACAGGAGGAGAGGCAGAAAGGAAGATCTTCCATCCAGTGATTAACTCCCCAAGTGGCTGTGATGTCTGGAGCTGTGCCGATCTGAAGCCAGGAGCCAGGAGCTTCTTCCAGGTCTCCCACATGGGTGCTAGGTCCCAAGGTTTTGAGCCGTCCCCGACTGCTTTCTCTGGCCACAAGCAGGGAGCTGGATGGGAAGTGGGGCTGCTGGGATTAGAGCCGGTGCCCATGTGGTATCCTGGCATGCTCAAAATGAGGACTTTAGCCACTAGGTTACCACAGTGGGCCCAGTTGGGCTTTGTTTGTTTGTTTGTTGTTTAAGATTTATTGTTATTGAAAAGACAGATCAGATGAGTTGCCAGAGAGAAAAAGAGACATTTTCCACGTGCTAGTTCACTCCCAAAATGGCCTCAACAGCCAAAGCTGAGCCAGTCTGAAGCCAGGAGCATGGAGTTTCTGCCGAGTCTCCCATGTGGGTACAGAGTCCCAAGGCCTTGGGCTGTCCTTGACTCCATTCTCAGGC